TTATTTCTAGATTCTCAATTCTGTCCTGTTGGTCAATACATATACTGTTGTACGAGTACATTTAAAACCTCCTCCTTCATTCTTCCATAGTTGCTATTTGCTGTCTAGTCCTTCTGACTCTTGGCTGGCCATAGATGTAGACTAGAAGTACTTTTGGGGGTTTTCAAGTCTATGATCTTTTGGAAGCAGATATGTTAGCCCCTCCTTCTCAAGTGCTTTGAGAAAGTTTGACCTGCTTACCTTTTGGTTGATTGCTTAATCATCCATATCTCCTCCTGTGGGATTTACAGCCTCCGAACATTCCCAGGAGGCTCAGCTATCAGTCAATTCTGAATAGACTGCACATTACAATAGCAGTGTTAGTAATTACATGTAAATAAACTAAATTTTTAATTGTGATTAATTCTTATATGAATATTTTATAAACGTTTACAATTTTGGTATTAAATGGTGGTGGTAATTGTGCAGCTAAAAATTATGTCATTAAAGAACCTGATACTATAATTCTCTTTCCTGTTTGTTTCTGCTTCTGGCTTCTATTTCTCCTTCTCCTAAACGTTCCCATCATTTCAGCCTAAACCTTTCTCTTTTAATTTTTTCCCTAGGAGAAACTCTTTATTCTGTTTATACTGTTAGTCCATTGCCACATTTTAAATATGTAAAGCATAACAAAGGTTTCTGAAGTTCACTTTGGATGGACTTGACTAGTTGTTGTGTTGTTGTTATATGCTGGCAAGTTGCTTGCAACTCCTGTGTACAACAGCCCCGAACTCTGCTCTATTCTGAGCCAACCTTATTGTCTTTGACACACCTACTTCCATTACCCCAGTCACTGAGTTAATCTATCTCATCAAGGGTGTTCCTCTCCTGTGCTGTTCCTCCACCCTCCCAAGCATGATGTCCCTCTCCAAGGACTGGTCCCTCCTTGCAATATGCCCAAAGTATGTCAGATGAAGTTTCAGAATCCTGACCTCCAAGGAACAGCCTGGCTTACTCTTTTTAGGATGAACCTATTTGTTCTCCTGGCAGTCCATGCTATATTCAGCACCACAGCTCACAGGCATCATTTCTCCTTCTCTTATCCTTAGTTATTGTCTGGCTTTCAGATGCATAGCAAATAATTGTTAAGACCATGGGCTGGATCACGTTCATCTTAGTCTCCAGACTGACATCATTTCTCTTCAGCACTCTGGAGAGGTCCGTGAAAGCAGATTTTCCCAATGCCATTAGTCTTTTGATTTCTTGGCTTATGGTACTGAGAATTTTGATTGTGGAACGAAGCAAACAATTGACTAATATAATAGTGATATATTGAAGCAAAATCCAAACAAGCCTATGTGTTTGTTAGATTTTGTACATGTTGTTGTATACTGTTGAGTTGGAACTGACTCATAGCTGACCTACCACCAGTGGGTTTTCAGAGGCAGTTTAAACATATAGGTGGAGATTGCACTTCTTTTCCTCACAGAGAAGTTGGTGGATATGAACCATGTGCTTTCGGGATTGCAGTTCCGCTCCTTACCATTTGGCTACCATAGTCGCTATTGAGTAGATATTTGTTGATTTTTGAGTAAGAGAAAAAGGAGCATGCTGAAAATGAGGGGAAAAGGAAAATGACACAAGTAAGTGTAATACAAAGAAAGTTTTTCCCCCAAATTCTTTAAGAAAAGCAGCTTTTGTGGGGAACTGCTCTGTTAGCCCAAAGCTAGATTATTTTAATCCACTAACCAATACGACGAAATCCTTGATGGGAGATTTTTCCAATGCAGCACATCTTTTGATTTCTTGAATACTGATATTATTAGTGTTGATTGTGGGTCCAAGTCAAATGAAATAATTGACAACTTCTGTCTTTCTCCATCTATCATGATGCTGTCTATTCTATCAATAGTTAAGATTTTTGTTTTGGCCTGAGGCCTGGGGCCTTGGAGTCTCCCTCCATTCTGACAGTTGGCTGGCTAGTTGACATCATGGTCGTGGTCTTGTCTTGGTGGCAGTCAGGCAAGGGAAGTTTCTGAGGTCCATTTTGTTGTGTGTTACTGTTCTTTTTGTCTCTCAAAGGTGGGCAGCCTTGAGCCTTAGACTAAGGGTAAAGGTGGAGGCCGTTTGAGGGTTTACTTTAAAATCCTGTAGGGCCCTTGGGCCAGATTTATTAATTTTAGAAGACTGTTCTTTTAAAGACACGGCAATCATTTGTCTATTTTCTGTACTGAACAGCTTGGAGTTGCTGTGATGCTGAACACTATTCCATAGTTGTGTCAAATATCATAATGGTTATCCATTATGTAGAGTGGTTGGATGAGCTTCCAGATTGATTTATGTTGGGAAGCAGGAGTGGCATTCACTTGCTAAATTAGATGCCTCTCGAAACTCTACAAACTGTCTTATAAATGTACAGAAATGATGTTAATTATAGAACAGATTTTAGGTCTTTTGGGCAAAGCTTACTCTGAGTCAACACTTATCCACTGCTAAGTGAGACTAGTGCTGTTATTTCTGGAGGAACATTCTTCCACTTTGCACATCACACTTTGTCAATGTGCTGTTTGAGGTAACCTGGGATTGCTACGATGCTGAACCTTGTGCCATGGGGATATCAAATACTAGAATGATTTTCCATTGTGGACAGTGTTTGGTGGAGCTCCCAGTTGTAAAACATACTTGGAAGCAGGAGTGGCATCCACTTCCTAAACCACTTGCCTCTGGAAACTCTATGAGATTGGAGAAACAACAGTAACTATGGAAAAACATTAGGTCTTTTGTTCATAGAGTTGCTATGAGTCGACCTCAACTCAAAAGCAATCAACAACGCAACAACAATATTGAAATGTAACCCACATCAAAAGCTATATATATAGTCTTTGATTTTCAGCAGTTGTTAGTTCTTGTTGTTAGGTGCTGTGGAGTCAAGTATTACCCATAGTGACTCTGTAAACAATGCATCTTAATCCTGTCCTATCCTGTGCCAACCTCACACTTTCTGACACATTAGAACCCATTGGGGCAGTCACTGTATCAGTCCACCTGGTTGAGGGTCTTCCTTTCCTTTGCCTCTGCCTCTGCCTTTTTGAACATCATACCCCTTTCTAAGGAGCAGCCCCTCCTAGCAAAATGCTCAAAGTATGTGAGGTGATGCTTTATTATCTTTGCCTCTAAAAGGTGCTTTAGCTACACATTCTCCAAAACATATTTGTTTGTTCTTTTAACAGTCGATATTCAGTACTCTTCTTCAACATCACATCTCAAAGACATTCCTTCTATCGTCCTCACTCATTGTCCAGCTCTCAGAAGCATAGCAAGTGGAAGACCGTGGCCTGAATCAGACACACCTTAATCCTCAAACTGACATCATTACTCCTCAGTAATTTGGAGAGATCCCTAAATGCTTTCCCAGTGCAATATGTCTACTCATTTCCTCACTACTAGTACCAAAAGTGTTGATGGTGAATCCGAGTAGGATGAAATTGTTGAAAATTTCAATCTAATCTCTATCTATGATGAGGTTATTTATCGAGTCTAGTAGTAAGAATCTTTGTTTTCTTGATGTTTAGATGCAATCCATATTGAAGGCTGAAGTTTTTGGTCTTCTTCAAAAAGTGCTTCAAATCCTTCTCCCTTTCAGCAAGCAAGATTGTGTTATCTGCATAACTCAGGTTATTGAGAAATCTTTCTCTGATCTTGAAGTCACATTGTTCTTCATATAGTCCAGCTTCTCAAATAACTTTTTCAGCTAAAAATGGAATAGGTATGGAGAGAGATTACAAACCTGACACATTTCGTTCTTAATTTCAAACCATGTAATGTTCCCTTGCTCGGTTTGCATAACAACAGTCTTTTGGTCTAGGTATAAGTTTTGTAAGTTTTGCATAAGCAAAATTAAGTACTCTTGGATTCCCATTCTTGAAAGTTAGCTTAACTTGTTATGATCCACAGAGTCAAATGCCTTGCATTGTCAATAAAGCATAAATAGACATTCTTCTGGTATTGTTTACTTTTACCCAGAATCCATCAGACATCAGCAATGATATTCCTGGTGCCACAGCCTCTTCTAATTCCTTCTTGAACTTCTGGCAGTTTCCTATCAGTTCTTATGTACTCTAAGTACTCCTGTGTCCTCTCTAATGCCTATGTCCTGTTCTAGCCATTTTTAAATGATCTTCAGCAGTATATTGCTTGCATATATTATAAATGATATTGTTCTACATTTTGTTGGATTGTTTTCTGGGGAATGGGAATAAATAGGATTTGGTAACAGAAATGAAGCTGGAAAAAGATTGATCTTCTAGATAAAATCATTTTGGTGTACTGACTCTCTTTATTCCTTCCATCTTTTGATTCTTGCTTCCTGCATCATTCAAAATTTTACTCATAGAATCTTTAGTATTGCAACATAAGGCTTGAATTTGTTCTTTAATTATTTTTAAGAAATACCAAGTGTATTCTTTCATTTTGGTTTTCTAAGTCCAGTTGTTTTTTTTTAAATTTTAATATTTTGCCTTGTCTTCTTGAGTTGCCTTTTGAAGTCTTCTATTCATCATTTCTTGTTTTGTTTATCCTCTCAATGTTCTAGTGTAAGAATTTATGATACATAGAATAGTTAATACTGAGGATGGTAGCCTTGTTGACAATACAATAGTAACCATGCCAGTGGGATTTTTATATAATTAATTTTTATTCATTTTTAGTTTTTCTTATAAATGTACTACTTTTCTTTAAATTAGGAAAAAAAAAGGAGTGGCATCCACTTCCTAAACAACATATCTCTGGAAACTTTATGAACTTTGATAAATGTCGATAGTTGTAGGGGGGTTCAGGACTTTTGTTCTATCTACGTAGGGTTGCTATGAGTCATGCTCGACTTAAAGGCAATCAACAACAAAAACAACACTGATTTATAGTAGGCTTAATCTTTAGTGTTTGAACATTAGCCTTGAAATTTCATCACAATAAGTGGTCATTCTGTTGCTTGGATAAATAACCATCATATTTAATAATTATAGATCTTCCCTGGCTGTTCACCTTTAATGTGAAGTTTTATCCTCCTGATCCTTCACAACTGACTGAAGATATCACCAGGTACTTGGCATTTGTTTACAACAATTAACCTTTGCTCAACAGCTATTATTTCTTTCTGTGGGTTGGTGGTAATTACAGGATTTTTTTTTTAATTTGTGCTGAGAACAGCTGGGTATTTGGATGGTAGAAAAAGATACTGTGAATTAATAAGTACATTGATAACTAAGTCCTGTTAAATTGCATGTCAGTGACAGGGTTTTTTTTTCCTTTTGATGAGAACAGTAGTGTGGAATGGTTAAAGCAGTTTTTAAAAAAGTTATGGCCAAGGAGAACTGTACTGTGAGCTAAGTACTTGAGGGTGCCTTTTGGACATTGTTAAAAAAGATTCTGTGTATCTGTGGCTGCTGTGCCTTCAGTATTATCTGCTAGGCTAGGTTTCCATCGTAATTGACATCTGTCAATTATATCCATGTCTTAACACATCTAAGAGTTAATATGATCCATGTGTAAACTCAGATGGTTAGAATGTCTTTCCAAATAGAAGTGGCAGATCTTTTTTTTTCCTTCTTCTTACTGCTGAATAAGAATGTACTGATGAAGCTCTAATTGAATTAGCTTCAGCTAGTAAACAGTAAATAGAAGCTTTTGTAACTGCACAGCACACAGCTTGAAACACGAAACCTGACAGGTCGGTGGTGGTGGATGCAGAGCTTCACCATAGAAGTGCCTTTGAACCATAACTGTAATTGGGGTATTGTAACCCAATGCCCATAAACAATTCTGTGTAGTTGTTTGTTTGGAGATTGTAATTCTTTGGTGATTGCAGCTTTAAGTATTGGTAATTGACTTGACTTTCCTCCTCCTCTTCCCCCCCACCCCCCAATAAATAAGGCTTTAAACAGTTACAGTGACTGTCATGGGAGAAATGATACCATTTGAGCTAACAAATGACCTTTAAATGAGACCAGCTGCATGTTTGTACTGGTCACCACCTAGCCTAAATGTCATGATTAAATTTTTCATGACGTATACATTTAGACCCTTGGTCTGCTTCCAGTCTTGCAAAGCTGGTGATGTTGGATCCATAGGCTTTACAGTCCCAGCCACCTGCTCAGCTCTGGTTACCCTGGTGGAGGGTGGAGCTTGGTAGTAAGTGGGTCAAGGCACTGGGCTAAGAGA